TGATTTCAAATATTTCTTTAATATCTTTATGTTGTTCTGAATAAGTTTTAAACAAATTTATTCACTTTTATTCATTATATCATTAGTAAATTTAATCAAAAACGTGTAGATGTAATTTCGAGAAAAATATTAACTTTATTAAATATTAACTATAATAAAAATAATGTAAATTAAAAGTGGACTAAAAGGAGACATCGAAAGCCGCAAAGCTACCTTAAAAAATATCGGTAGAAACGAAAATGAAGAAAAATCCGTCCTATTAAAAAAAAAACTTGTAAAATAAATGCAACTCAGTGATTAGTTAACATAAAAAACATAAAAAAAATCCTATAATTATAACTAAGTTTTCATTAGCTTTTTTTATCATAAGTTGTTTTGCTCAGTACCTAACATACCGCTACCTACCGGGTCCGTTTCTATTTATCGGTATATTTATCTTATTTCTGAAGTTGGACCAAACAATACCACACATTTAAATTAGCATCAACGAACAACTTGACACTTGAATTTTATATACTGAAATTTCATAACTTAATTTCAAATCTCAGAAGCCTCATAGGACACTTTTACAAATCATTCCTTCCCGTCTTGTTTCCTATTGGCTAACGATTCATTTTATGTGCAATTCTGATGTTAAGGGTCTAATTCAATATCTTTTCCGATAATTTGATCTTATTCGTTCGCAGAAGCTTTTTATAAAATTTTACGCACCGCTATAGGGATGGGTAAATTATAATTATTTAACATGTAGTAACTGTGTTTCGGTTTGAAGGGTGGGATATGGTAGTGAATTTATAGGGCACAGAGGAATAACATCTGAGTCCTCAGGAATGGTAATACATGGGGGGTATCATGAGCGAAACAGTTTGTTATATCCACGGTTACCACTTTCCATCAGGTGGGCCGTCAGTTTGTTTGCCATTCTAAGTTGCATAAAAAAAAGTAGATATTTCTATTTCTACCGATTTTAAAATGAGAGAGAATTTTAATTTTAGAAACGAACGAATCTACTTATAGAATCGTTATCGCTAGCGAGCCTGTGAGATAGAATGTGTCAACGATGTGCCCTGTCTTCTTCTTTCACAAGTGAGCATTGACCGGACCAATTCTATTGACAGAATCGTTTCTACCTCGTCTAGGACGGAAGGCCCTTGTTTCCTATTAGTATGACAAGTACATAAATCAACTCTTGACATTGTAATTATGCCTCAAATTCTCATGATTAATGTTTGAAACGTGTTGAATAGCTTTCAACAAGAATACGACGTATCCAAGGTCCTTGCTTTGTATTCTAGGTTGTATTATTAGTAGGGCTATTGTAAAATTTTATTTATTAAAGGACAATAAACACGCGGGTGTTCTTTGCATTCTTTCACGCAATTATATGGGCCAATTTGAAGTAAATGCTACTATAACATAATATTTCAGGAATGGTAACGCATCAATGGTATCATAGGTGACATAGTAACCTCCAAGAAAAGAGAAGTATTCAATAAACACTTACTTACAATAGACAACTTAGAATGGCAAACAAACTGACGGCCCACCTGATGGAAAGTGGTAACCGTCGCCTATAGACATAAGCAGTACCATGGACTTAACAGAGTATACTGTTTCGCCCATGATACCCTCCATGCGTTGTCATTCCTAAGGACTCAGGTGTTATTCCTCTGTACTCAGTAAATTCACGCCATATCCCACCCTTCAAACCGAAACACAGCCATATAAACACAACTGCTTCACGGTTGAAACACGAATGGGACATAAGTACCCAAGCAATCGACTTTTGTACGAAGTCTCCCTCTGGTATAAACACGCGGGTGTTCTTAACATACTTTCACGCAATTATACGGGCCAATTTGAAGTAAATGTATTATACACTACTATAATAGTATTTCAGGAATGGCAATGCATCAATGGTATTATAGGCGACATAGTAACCTCTAAGAAAAGAGCATATTCCTCTTTAAAAGGCCGCTAACACATCTGCAATGCCTCTGGTGTTGCGGGTGATCATGGGCGGCGGTAGTCATTTATCATAGGGTGAGCCGCATGATCGTTTGCCTTCTGCGTTATAAAAAAAAGTATACACTCCGTGAAGGTTTTTTCTAATGGATGATAATGAAATGGTAACCCCGCCTGTGCTATCGATATACACTGGCGGGGTACCAGTGAAGGATGATTGGTAACAATGAAAAGGCAGGTCAGTTAGCCCATCGTGACGAATTCAAGGATAAATTAGTCACATTAGTTTCCAGGGGAAACCGCGTGGAGGTCGACCTGATGGGGTATATTTATAGCAATGGGGACTAACCTCCCCATTGCTAACAATCCCTTGCCCCCACTCTATGAAGGTTATCACTTTCTATCAGGTGGGCCGTCAACTTGTTGGTGCGTGGTAACCGTCGACTATAGAAATGATACTGTTCATGTCTATAGGCGACGGTTACCGCTTTCCATCAGGTGGGCCATTTTGAGTTGTATACAAAAAATATATTATATTGTTTAAAAAGTTTCGATAGGATTTAATGAAAAGGTAAAAAAGTTTTTTGTGTTTTGTTGTAATTATCACAAAATCACTCTCTAAATGAAGTTAGTAATGAATTGAAATATTCAATTAATTGTTGAATAATAAGTATCGTGAGTCATACTTTATTATAATTATTTATGTTGGCTTTACTTACTCCGACAATATACTAATATTTACTTTGTCAAAAAATTATGATCACGACATTTCCTTTATTCACTTCTTACCAAAAACAAATGTTTCTCTTTTCATACTTTCCAAAAGTTAAATAAAGCTTCTGAAAGCTTAACTTTGTTAACACTGTAATAACTTGGGGATTTTAAAACGTTTACTCAGCCATTTGGAGAAAATTAAATGTTTTAATGAAATTTAGGTATTCTCATTAAATGAATTGTTCGAATAATTAAAGATTACGGCCAAAAAAAATCAAGAACAATTGAGACAAAACCAGTTATGATTTAAAAACTAAAGTTCAAAAACGATTTTGATAAAATTTCTACGGAATTAATCTGTAACTATATCCTTTTAGATAAAGAAGGAATTTTCAAATCGGTTTCGAATTGACGAAATTATGAGGTAACAAACATAAAAAAATAAAAAATAAAAATCGAATTGAGAACCACCTTTTTTGAAGTGGGCTGAAAATAAGCAATTCGTTAACTTCTCAATGAGCAGCGGGTCTACTCTTGAATCTAATGTCGATATCAATCCAATCTATTGAGATCTGAGGGAGACTTTGTACAAAAGTCGTTTGCGTGGGTACCTCTGTCCCATTCGTGTTTCAATCGTGAAGCAATTATGTTTGCATGGCTGTGTTTCTATTTGAAGGGTGGGATATGGCGTGGACTTACAGGGTATACTCTGTAATGTCCATGGTACTACCCATGTATATAGGCGACGGTTACCACTTTCCATCAGGTGGGCCGTCAGCTTGTTTGCCATTCTAAATTGTATAAAAAAAAATTAAAAAAAAATCTATTGCTAATGACAATTTTATACTGCACTTATGAAATAACAGGAATTAGGTTATAGTTGGGATCAGTTTACAATAGTTTGCATTGACAAGTTATACTAACATGCATCTATAAGAACTATATGGAACCATTGTGTCGCTAGTGTTGCAATTCGAAAGTGCGAAATGTTTCAATTCCAATATCGATCTATTGGAATTTATTTCAAGAGGAACGCACTAGGTCATCAGACGTGACCTAGTAAATTCATAAGGTTCATCAGGTTGGGTTGTTTAGTTTTTAAATCACAATAACCAGTTTTCTATTGCTGAAATAGGTATTTTTTTGTTGAATAAAGTCTTAAATTACTTGTAATGTACTTCAAAATTCAAATTTGAATTCAAAATATCTTTATTTATGTAAGTCTATTCCAGACTCTTATGATATGTCAAATCTACCGTCAGTTCGGAATGATTTCGATATGAGAAGAACTGACAAGAGACTCAGCTCGTATTTTTTTCAAATAAATTTTATATTTATTTTTTTAATATATTAAATCTTGAACCACAAAGCTATAAAAATAGATATAAAGGAGAAGTAAAAGCAGACATTTGTCATGGATCTAATTAATTGTATGCAATAAAACAAACAACGACTAACAAGAGCAAACAATGCTTGCATCAACAGAATTAAATACTCCCTACAGACAATGAGAAGATAAAATTAACAACTTGGTAATTCGATTGAATTCAATAAATGCCACTTCTATTAACTAAGCCACGGAGAAAGTCGTCCGAGGAAAATAGTTATAGAGATTGTATTAACAACTAAGTTTCCTGATTTTATATGTACAGGTATATTGAAGGTAACAGCCTTAGATTATATAGATAGAGCATCAAGACTCAAAAACGGGTCAACTTTTTGTCAGCTAACTGTCAAATTAGCTGACTCGTTTTTTATCTGTGTTCTTTATACATACGCACACAATATATCTTAACGGGGGCAAAGGGATTATTAGTAATGAAGACTAAAAATCCCATTGCTAGCAATATACCTAACCAGGTCGACCTCAACGCGGTTCCCCCTGGAAACTATCATGATTAATTCTTCATGATGAATTCATCATGATAGGCTGACTTGCTTTCATTCTCATCTATCACCCTTCACTGGTGCTCCGCCAGCGTATCCCGTTAGCATAGGCAGGGTTACTAATCCATTTCCATCCAACAACAAAAATATACATCTTAACGTATCTATATTTAATTATTTCATAAATACAATGAATTTCTGCGCATTCAAAGGGTGCAGAATTTAGAAGACAAAATAAATATAGAAGTTATAAAGGGAACATTTATGACTATTTATTCCACAAAATTGTATGAAAAAGTTGACCCGCTTTTCTCGAAGCATTTGCATGGTGACACTCTGTCTAGATGTTTATAGTCAACGGATACAGCTTACCATCAGGTGGGCCATCAGCTTATCTGCCATTGCAAATCGTTTAAAGCATTTTTCTTTTACAGAGCGGTCAGAGGCGGCACTGAGCGGTAGACTGTCCAAATCGGCATCGGAACTGTCATGCGGTCCAGCAGCCACGTCGCCCCCACCCCGCGCCCGCTCTGCCCACCACCACGCCCCCCTCTCAGTTGTACACAGGACACAGCATTTCTTTACGAATTTGAAGGTAAATGCTGTTTTTTATTTTTCTGATAGTGTCTCTCGAACTAACAATGGTAATAGGTCCTTCAGAGCACATACAGTTTAATACATACACAAATTACATTTATTTTACAGGAGCAAGTGTCCGCGCACACGCCTCCATTCAGTCGGTACTTTTTATTTCTTAAACTAAGGTGGAAGGAAGACAATATTGACGGACTCCAATATTGTAAACAATCTGTGTTTTATTACATTAAGGCTAAGGCAGGGAGAGATGAAAGGGGAAGATGAAAGGAGGTCAATTAATGCATTATGATAGATTCCATAAGAATGGGGGTATCATGGGTGAAACAGTTATGTTCATGTTATGTTCATGGTACTGCTCATGTCTATAGGCGACGGTTACCACTTTCCATCAGGTGGGCCGTCAGCTTGTTTGCCATTTTAAGTTGAATAAAAAATAAAGTGTTTCACGCTTTGATAAGGTAACAGGCACTTTATTACAAGGGACGTGACATGTGCTCTGAAATATTTGCCATTAATGAGGTCAGAAGGTAAATTGCTTTCGCGTTTTATTTACATAAGACTATACGAAAGGCAGTCTATATAATCCCGGGAGACTATTAATATACGCTCTGATTAATAAATAAACTCCCGTTCAACGCCCACTCGTGCGGTTAAAGAAAACAGAATGGAATTTTCTTTATCTGTTTTAACTAATATTTATAAGTACTAGCCTACTAAAGGGTTAGTAGACTGGTTTTTTTTTAATGGATGATAATGGAATGGTAACCCCACCCGCGCTATCGGTATACACGGGCTAGGCACCAGTGAAGGATGATAAGTGAGGATGAAGTAGGTCAGTTAGCCCATCGTGGCGATTTCAACAAGAATTGTTCACGATGGTTTCCAGGGGAAACCACGTGGAGGTCGACTTAATAAGGCATATTGCTAGCAATGGGGCTGTCAAATTCCATTGCTAACAATCCCTTCCCCCGGGTTAGTAGGCTAGTAGCTTAGATCTGATAGGGCTCATATCGATCTCCATGTGGTCCAGGATCGCCCCTGGAAACCATCCTGCTTAATTCTAGGCGTATTTATCGCGTAGGCTAACAGACCTGCATTTTCATTCTCACCTATCATTTCTTACTGGTGTCTCGCCAATGTATACGGTTAGCGCGGACAGGGTTGTCATTCTATCGTCGTCCATTAAAGAAAAATAGCCTACTAACCCTATCAGGGCGACCTCCATGCTGTTCCCCTTGGAAACCATCGTGGTTAATTCTTGTTGAAATTTTCATGAGCGGCCAACTGACTTGCTATCATCGTTACCAATCGTATATTACTGATGCCCCGCCAGAGTATGTCGATAGCGCAGGTGGAGTTACCATTCCATTATCATCCATTAAAAAGAAACCCTATCAGGTCGACCTCTGCGCAATTCCCTCTGGAACTCATTTTGGTTAATTCTTATGGAATTCGTCACGATGGGCCAACTGACGTGCCTTTTTCATCCTCAACCATCATCACTCATTTACCAGAGGGAGACTTTATACAAAAGTCGTTTACTTGGGTACCTCTGTTCCATTCGTGTTTCAACCGTGAATCAGTTGTGTTTGCATGGCTGTGTTTCGGTTTGAAGGGTAGGATATGGCGTGAATTTACAGGGTACAGAGGAATAACACCTGAGTCCTCAGGAATGGCAACGCATGGGGAGTATCATGTGCGAAACAGTATACTCTGTTATGTCCATGATACTGCTCATGTCTATAGGCGACGGTTACCACTTTCACCATCAGGTGGGCCGTCAGCTTGTTTGCCATTCTAATTTATATAAAAAAAAAACCTCGTATACTGCTAGCACAGGTAGGGTTACCATTCCATTATTATTTATTAAAAAAAAAAAAACTAGGCTACTAATCATATGTAGGTGGCATATTTAGATTTAAATAGAATGCCCCTCCCTATACTTTGGGAAATTGAATTTATTATTACATTTTTAAAGAAGTGTCCTATAAAAAAATGTTTTACTTCCCATACCCATTACATACTTTGATATTCGACGATTGATATTTGATATTCCCATGATATACTTTGTCATTTTCAAGCTACTCAAAAAAGACGGAAGTTCTCAATTCGCTTGTGTTTGTTTTTTATATTTATTACGTCATTTATAAACCGATATAGAAAATACTTTTTTCTTTATTTGAAAGGATGTTTCCAAACTGGTCCTATAGAGATTTCATCAATTAGTCTAAATTATTTCTAGTACTGCATTCGGGTTTTTTATTCCTTCCTTAAGATTGATTGATAAATAATGCTTTTAACATCAAGTTCGCCTTGTTCTATAATATACTAGCGGCCCGATTCGTGCATCGCTACATATAAAGTGAAATAATAAAAAAAAATGTAAATGACCGCATGAATAACATAACAACATGCTTGTACTGTCAACACTGAAAAAAGTTTCAATTTGACAGCACAATCCCATCTTAAAAAAAGTTTGAATTTCGCACAAAAATCCCCATTAACAATATGATACGCCATTTATTGAATGCATTTGTTACAAAAAATGTGATAAATGAAGAACCGCTCGACCGATTTTGTGTAAACTTCACATAAACCATCTACTAAATAGTCCGAACAAAGCTCAAACATTTGGGTTAGATAGGTGAGCCCGTTCTTGAGTTTATAACTCAAGAATTACAATGAAAAATGGCATTAATTTATTTATATATATGTATATGTATATATATATATATATATATATATATATATATATATATATATATATATATATATATATATATATATATATATATATATATATAGTATGTTAATTGTCGACACTTTGACGGTTCAACGCATCGTCACGAAATCCCGGTCAAACGACATATCCCGGTCAGGTAGACGGAGTCACGGGTAAAAGCTAGTAAATAAGGATTCACCAGAGGGAGACTTTGTACAAAAGTCGATTGCTTGGGTACCTCTGTCCCATTCGTGTTTCAACCGTGAAGCAGTTGTGTTTGCATAACTGTGTTTCGGTTTGAAGGATGGGATATGGCGTGAATTTACTGGGTACAGAGGAATAACACCTGAGTCCTCAGGAATGGCAACGCATGGGGGGTATCATGGGCGAAACAGTATACTCTATTATGTCCATGGTACTGCTCATGTCTATAGGCGACGGTTACTACTTTCCATCAGGTGGACCGTCAGCTTGTTTGCCATTCTAAGTAGTATAAAAAAAAAAAAAAAAAAATAAGGTAATTATTAAAAGCACTCACCATGTTCGCACTCAGCCGTGACACGCTACGATAATGTTATTTTCAAATTAAGACTGTACAGTCATGGTACGATTGCAAATCGTATATTTTAAAATAATAAGGTCACCCCGAACGACTGCCCCTACCAGTTACTTTTCTCTTGTCAAGGTAAAAATTATTTTGTCACTGAAATTAGAACAAATAACATACGTTTACAAGATGTACTTACATGGCATTTTAATATTTTAGATTGATAATTTGAGATTGTGTTCCACAAAATAACCGATTTCAGTTGTGGTAAATCCAGTTATTTTGTTTTATAAACTAAACTTCTGAATCAATATTGATAAAATTTCTGTGGAATCAATCTGTAAGTAAATTCTTTCAGTTTACAACTGATTTGAGAAATTCTTTTTTAGTTAAGTTTTCATTTTTGTAAAGAAAGGCAATGAAATTATTAAGGATGGAACTGTGGTATAACACCTCCTACCATCATAGGCTTTTTATCATCTAAACGATCTGTCACAATTACATTAACATTGAATGATCTACACCTATTCTATGTTTTAATATTGTATTATTATTACAACAGGAATCTAAACTATATTTCAGAGGACTGGCATACGTATCAACATTTTGATATTTGCATATTATATACCACAATGTACATGATGCTGTTCATATCTTATTATGCGTTGCAATTCCTAAGGACTATGGTGTTTTTTTTTTGATGGGTGAAAATGATATGGTAACCCCGCCTGCGCTAACGGGATACGCTGGCGGAGCACCAGTGAAGGGTGATTGATGAGAATGAAAACATGCCAGTTAGCTTATGATGAATTCATCAGGAATTAACCATGATAGTTTCCAGGGGTAACCGCGAGGAGGTCGACCTGTTTGGGTAAATTGCTAGCAATGGGATTCTCAGTCTCCATTACTAACAATCCCTTTCCCCCCAGGACTATGGTGTTATGCTTCAGTAGTCTGTAATTTCACTGCCATATTTTAACCCTTCAAACCAGGGGGAAAGGGAATTGTTAGTAATGGGTACCGATAGCGTAGACGGGGTTACCATACCATTATCATTAAAAAAAAAACTTTCAAACCAATACATAGCCAAACAGGTATAGCTACTTCCCGGCAGGAACACTAATAAGACAGAGGTTTTCATGTACTTTTGTACAAAGTCTTCCTTTGGCTTCATCCTTTTGTTTCTTGCTTCTCTAACCTTGTAGCCAATTAAATGACCGGGATAAAAAGTAGCGCCTGGCCTTTTCCATCCAGTGTAAGTCCATATATCCATGTTTGCAGTGTACAGTTTTTAATATACTGTAACTAATAGCATATTATCTGCGCTTTAGTTTTGTATCTACTTACCATTCACCGGTTCCGATGCTGAATAAAAATGGTGCCGTGAATGGACGGAGTTATTATCGATCGCGCGAAGCCAGAGAACACAGTGTAAACGATTAACTGCAATAGCGAAGCACTGGGATGGGGACGGAGTATTATAAATAGCTTAAATGTACCTAGACCTATTAAAAATATACTTTTGTTACAATACAAGTTAGAAAGGCAAACAAGTTGACGGTCCACCTGATGGAAAGTGGTAACCATCACCTATAGACATAAGCAGTACCATGGACATAACAGAGTTTTTTTTTTTTACCACTGAGGTAGCAAACAAGTATACGGCCCACCTGATGGTAAGTGGTTACCGTAGCCTATGAACATTTGCAATACCAGAGGTATTACGCGT